GGAAGGAAGGAAGGAAGGAAGGAAGGAAGGAAGGAAGGAAGGAAGGAAGGAAGGAAGGAAGGAAGGAAGGAAGGAAGGTTCTATGGTCCAAGTCTTACAATGGTGGCTGGAGCTAATATGAAATAAGATCTAAACTGAGTCTGAACGTAGACATCTCTATGATTTTCCCTTCTCTGTTTTCCAGTTAGGATTTATGATGATGGTAATTATGTTTGTTTTGTTTGTCTGATTGTTTTGGAATCCAGGAGCCAATCAGTGAGCAGAACTTTGATGCCTACGTGAACACTCTTACTGACATGTACACCAACCAGGAATGCTACCAGAATCCAGAAAACAAGGATCTGCTGGAAAGCATCAAACAGGCCATTAAAGGAATTCAGGTCTAAGAAGTGGGACAAAAAAAGAAAAGGAAACTTAAAGAGAGCAAGAGAGTGAGAGAGAGAAGATGTTAGAATATCTGGAAGACTTTAGAAGACCTTCACTCAGGTTTATTTGTTGAATGAATGAATTAAAGGACCAAAACTTAACCAAGAGGCCATTCACAAAAGAAGAAATGAACTCAATTTTTTTGTTTGTTTTGTTTTGTTTACTTGATGGCATCACTTGGGCAAACAGTGGGAACTCTGTTTTGTTTTTCACCCCAGATTATGGTGGTGGATTTAAAGATGGGCTCGGAAGCAGGTGGAGATTATGGATCTTCATGTGCTGCTAGGTTCCTACACTCCATAACAGAGTTATTCCAAGATTTAGATCATTAAAAGAACAGGGCTTTTCTCTATCACGGGAGGCTCCACAACCATGTGTTGCCTTTGGTCATGTCTCAAGATAACGCATCAGTTCTATGTCATCTATTGTCTATGAGAAGCTGGAGCTGCAGGCTTATCTCTCCATCTAATCTGAGCTAGGATTCCTACTCAACTAAGGATTCCAATGCCTCTGGACACGAGGACTCACAAAAGTATTACAGAGTCACATTATTTTTTATTTTCCAAAAGAGCAGCTCTGGATCTCCAGTGGAAAACGCAATGGAAAACAAAAAACAAAAAAACAAAAGGTTCTCAGGGAAGCTTTTTTGGAGTTTGCAACTACAGTATTCCTTTGTCTGTCTTTTTAAAAAAGGCTATTAATGAACAGACCAATATTGGGACGTTTTGTATGGGAGAATTCTAAGTGTGTTATCATGGTCCAGTGTACATGAGTTTCGGAAAGTCCTTTTGCTGACCGTTCTGGTTCTGTTCATCGTTGTGGTCATTCTTGAGTAGCTGTAAAGCACTGCACACATCAACGCCAGAGACATATTTAAGGTGTGATTAGGAACAAAAGGGAGCCTACAAGAAGTAGTTACTCTTCCCTCCCTATGAACTTTGGCTGATACATTCGTGGCAATGCTTACGGGTTCTCAGATTCGTTTTCTACATTTTCTGTGTTTAACAAAACAAAGTGATTGTCCTGCAAGAAAGGAAACATTGGGTAAAGCTCTTCCAAAGAACCACTTTGATTTGGTTTGGGGTTAACCCTCCAGTATACGTAAGTCCACTGTGCACTTAAAGAACTACAATGAAGTGAATGTCTCTTGTAAAGCAAATTTCTTCAACGCCTCTTAACCCATGTGGGTATTGCTAGATTCTCAGAGGGAAATAAGAGCAGTGGGGAGATGTGCAAATAGGATACAGAGCATGGTTTACCCGAGCTTATCAAGAAAATGAATCCTCAGTTTTAACCCAGCCAGGCTAGTGAGAAGGATTTGAATAGGTGACTGATATATTAATTGGCTAGAGGGCAATCAGTAGCATTCCCTGATTCCTAAAGTAAGAAATAACAGCCATTGAGAAGGCAGGAAGAAGGAAGCGGGATCATCTCTAGGGCCTGCTGCTGCCTTCCAACAGAGGTGCTCCTCACACTTGGTGAACTCTTGTCTCAGCATATCCAAAAGCCAGAAAAGATGTTAGATAAAATTCAAAGAATATTGTAAGGCATTAGCGACATTGTAAAATTCTTTTCATGGTGCTGAAATCTCCCCTTTTCTTGGCAGTAGTGTGGTCTTAAAAAGTAAGTCTCCCCCTCACCCCGAGCTTGAAAGCTTCTAAGGCTACAATCCTCTATCCACCTACAGGAGCATAAGGATCATTGAGACCAGAGAATTCCCTTCCAAAAGCACAACTATGTACTGTGCTGTAATTCTGATTTCTAGCTAGCAAGGATGGTCTTGGACAGGTGTTTGCCAGAAAACCCCAAACAAAATCCTGCCACCTTCAAGGGAGTGACAAAACGTGGTTTCTGTGGAAACAAGGGTTAGCCTCCAAAGTTCCTAAGAACTTTGGGGGGTGCACATGCCTGTTGATCTGTGCAGGTGCCACTGTTTTTCTTCCAGATGTAGCCCTTTGACACCACATCAGAAGGCTGCTTCAGAGTGTCCCTCCACTCCAGGAACAGCTACAGAGGGTTGGAGTGAAGCCAGCCAGCCAACATGACATTTAGGGGTATTTGGGAGCATTTTTGTACGTGAGGATTTGTTGTCCTGTAAACACTGGTGCCTCCTCCTTCTAGCAGGAGCTCTCTAATGAAGGGAGTGAGTCAGTTGCACCAGGCAGCAGATGCTGGAAGATGAGCATCAAAGGGCCAGAAGAAACAGCTGTTCCTCACCCGCTGGGCCATGCCACTTAAGTGAGCCCAACATGGTGAGGCTCCGTGATCAGTGCTAGAGAAAGATTAGGTGGCTAGTCTAGTTGGTTTTGATACAATGAAGAGGGTGCCATCTTCTTCTTGACCTCAGGCAGCAAAATACTTTCTCTTCCCGTTCTCGTGACTGTCCGACCTTTGCTACAACAGAAGCAAAGCGGAGGAGATGCATTCGGCCCAAATCATAATTTACGTTTCAATGTGAGGTTTCTATTCAAGTTGCAAACTTGACTGAACCAGGCGTCACTTCAAGCTTCAGTGTGAAAATGCCTTAAAAGCCCTAGTCCTCAATACCCTTAGGCTATAAACTAAAATCTTTTGACGCCGAGGAGGAGGCTCTGTTATGCAGCGGAGCAGGTGGAAAAAGAAAGAAAACACACACACACAAACCCACCCACACACACACACACACACACGCGCGGGTGACTTTACCAAAGGCCGAACTGTTGTAGACTCCTGAAGCTGCCCATCTGAGCAAAACTGAGACATGTGCTAAATATTAGGGTAACATTGATCTCCTTGACTTGGCTTACAATCTGTAGCAAGTGCAAAAAGCAAGCAAACTAAGGGAGAAATGATTGAAGTATTAATACGGCGTTCAGTGTGTAAATAGAGTCCAATTGGATGGTAATTGCAACTCATTTAGTACTTAAGAATAGAGAAATTGCACTTCCTTAAAAAATAAAAAAGAAGGGTTGGGGAAAAGTAGTTAGCTGAATTATACTGTAAATTATTTAAGGGTGCACCCCAATGCACATCAAGTATGTGGTGGACAGCCCTGAGGTTCATTCACTGTGTTTTGTTCGTACATACAAGCCACGTAGTTTTTCTACCCGTGCGCGGCGGAGGCTACGTGGACGCGGGACGGGTGGTCCAGCGTCTGCGATGTGGATTCCGTGCCCCAGAGCCATTTTTCCACTTTTCAAATGGTGTGTGTAGATTTTGTTAAAGCATTGATCAAATATGAAATTGGATTCAATTGCAAATGGTGCTTTTAAGGCAGAGTGCCTACCTGAGTATTTAATTCGCCAATAACTGTGTCTGCCAAAAACAGGGGGGAGTGTGTTTCATTCTGCAGAAAAGGAGGGGGGAAAACACCGTGTCTTTTTTTTTTTTCCCCTGTAGGCACCCTGTAAGCACCCTAATTTGGGAGGATATATATGTAATTTATATTTGCAACATCTTATGTTGACTTTTTTTGGCTATTTATTGAAATGTTTATTTATTAAATTTATACTTCTTTTGAAGCTGGACATCACCTCAAGAGAAAGGAAAGAAGGCAAAAAATAATAATAATAATAAATCCCTGGAAGAAATACAACTTTTTGATCAATAAAACAGTATTCCCTCTAAGTAAGAAAAAAAAATCTAACTTTTGCGTGTAATTTTGATGCAACCAAGTTATTTTTTATATATTTTTGTTATTTATTCTTTTACCAATGGGGAATTTTTTTAAAGATATTTTATAACTGAAGTGCTTTTTTAAGAAAAAAGTTTTTTGTTTTGATTTTTCTTTTGCGTGGGACAAAATGCGGAGAGAGAGAGAGAGAGAGAGAGAAAAAGAAAAAGATTAACTCCTTTTCTTTGTTTCTTTTGGGTTTTTTTCCCTTTCGTCTTGGCGTTCCTATTGTTTCAGGCACTGATAATGGTAAAAAATTTAAAAACCTGTCATTTCTTATTTATTTAATATTTAAATTAAACAGAAAAATTGATCTGTGCTCTTGTATATTTATTTTGTCATGTTTGTGTGTTGGTTATGTGATGGCTGAGTAATTGTTTATGTGAAGGAATACTCTTCCTATTTAAATAATAAAGAATCACATTCAAAAAAAAAAATGAACCAGAGACTCCATGTTCTTCTGCAGATTTTTTTATTAAAAAAAGAAACATCAGATGCATTGTGTGAAATAATTCCCATTGTTTCTGAAAGATAGGAGTGAATGTAGTTGCTGGTTTATCCCAAATGCCATTAATCTGCACATGTAAAGGGGAGGTCGTTCAGGGAATCTGAAGCAGAGATACTCATGGGCGGATCCAAAGAGTCAAGATGGCCACCTTGACCATCATCTTGACTTTTTGGATCCTCCCCTGTGGACGCCTCAATCCCAGGTTTCCCAAAGTATAAAAAACTAGGGGGGGAAACGTACCCCACAAATATCCCCAGAGATTCTTTCATGGCCATCAAATTTTGATTCATCATTGGAAGAACGAAATGGAAAAATTAGGGATCAGGTGAGGAGAAAGTCTGCTGAGATGCTGAACAGAAACTTTCTCCACCAGCATATTTTGTTGCCGATGATATGCGTCAGCTCTTTGACCTTCAGATCTCAGGAAAACAAGCCGAGATGCGTCCAAGGAGAGGCTAGGTTGCCTCAAATGTGGCACATTCTGCCTTTTCGCATGGTAGGTGCCCTTGTCATTCCCCTTCAGAAAACAAAACCTTTTCTGACTTGGAATGACTTTTTAAATCAGGGTAGCATAAGCTATTGCAAAGTTCACAGATACAATACAAACACGTTAACATAACACACACCTAACCTGGTCAATTAAAAACCTAGTAGCTTCATACACACAATGTAATATGTTTGGTGAATGTTAACCTTGGTTATATTTTTAAATCTTAATATACTGGGCAAACTCAGCAACTGTGGTTAGTTTACAGCTCCGCATATTTTGCAAATCCAGAAAATGGGTTAGTTAAGCAGGTAAAGCCTGTTGTGTGAAGGCAGCCTTGTACCATATGGGCAGAGATGAAGAACTGTCTTCTTGGGTGATGAGATGGGACATGAAATTCCACTTCCCTTATCCCTCCTGGCTCCACAACAGCCTGTC